CAAAGCCAGATGTGTGTGAGGTAGGGAAATACATTTTATAGAAGGAACCGTACAAGGTATTGAGCCAAAATGTTGTGGAGAGAACACTTGGTGATTGTAGTCATCTCAGTTATCGGTACATAGGAAAAGTCCAAGGTGAAGGTCAGCTACCATCAATAACGGGTTTGTCCCTTGTTGGAATCGATAGCGGCCTGACATATCCTGCCCATGGAAGAGACGAGTATGTGAATCACATCCTTGGAAATGGTAGCCCACTCGTCCTGCAGTGCAAATGGTAACTGCTGCAACGTCTGGGGTTGTTGTTGACGTCGGCGTAGCCGTCTATCCAATTCATCCCACAGGTGCTCTATTGGGTTCGAATCTGGGGATCTGGAGGGCCAGGGGAGAACATCAACGTTGTTATTGTGTAGACAGGCTCTTTTGATCCGTGCTGTATGCGGTCGAGCATTGTCCTGCTGGAAAGCACCGTTGCCGTTGGCTGCAATTAGGAGGACGTGTGGTGGGAGAATTTCGTTGATGTATCGTTGAGCCGTAATATTGCCCTGGATTTGGACCAAACCTGTCCTGCCATGATGAGAGATAGCCGCCCACATCATAACGCTACCCCCACAACACCTGTCCTGTACGAGGTTTCTAGCTTAACGTTTTCCCCCGACGTCTGTAGACCCGTGCTCTTCAATCACCTCGAAGGAGAAGAAATCTTGATTCGTTGCTGAAGTAGACATCTCTCCTTCGCAGTTGAGGCCATACCCTGTGTTGACGACACCAAAGCAGTCAGTCCTTGTTGACGATGTTGTCTCACTATGACGTGTCGAACAGGACGTTTTGCTCATGGACCTGCTGCTCTTAAATGGTTTCGTACGGTCTGATCGGATATTCTGCGCAGTACGGGTATTTGGGATGCGGTTGAGGTGGCTGTGGTCGTCCTATAAGGTAGGTGGCACAGTCAAAAGTAGTGATCTTGGGCGGGGATAGTTACTTTTGGCCGTCCCGACCTCGGTCGATCCCGTGTTGACCTATGCTGTTGAAACTGATCCCATAGCCTTGTGATGGTCCTGGGCGCTACATTGAAAACCCTGGCTACAGCTGATCGGGATTCCCCTGCCTGCAAGCGGCCTATGACGTTGTTTCTTTGTACTTCTGGTAATCTTGGCAATGTTGTTGAACTGTCACTGTTCGACTGACGCAGATGCCAGGCAATCAAAAACCCTGCACTTTAATACCGTTCATAGTATAGTGCTGCTGCACGTGCAGAACGTCCAGCTCTATGGCCCTTTTGTTAATGCACTGGGTGCGTTTTTTCCTAATCGTACGTGTTTCCCGATTAATGGTTAGCATGTCCTTGTCATCATTTTGATACGGGGAATTTCTCACTGACACTAGTACTATAACACATTAAACCTCTTCATTTGCACCTCTTGGTCCGCTAATTTTGCTTTTACGGCCAAAAATATCCGTATTGAGTTTCCTTTTGTAAAGAGTATATTAGGAATAGACAATTAAATATTCTGGATTAGGTAAGTCATTGATTATCGCCTTTATTAAAGTTTTGTTATGTGAAACCCGGGAAACAATTTATATTTAAAGTACTTTCTTGGACTGACATATTCCTTCCAAATGGTCCCCACTTTATGATCATTATAAATCCAAAGTACATTACAACTAGAATTTTACAACTTTGGATACCAGAACAATGGTTAAGTTAATGGCTGACCGTTGCCAACAACCACGTTTGCAGGGTGATGACTTCACGAAAAGTTGATGGTGGCCTAAATCCCGTATTTACTGGTATTAGACAGACTTTTGATCGCATTGATTTGATCAAATCGGGTGAGTATGTGAACTGGTCTGGGTTTTTTATCCTGAATATGTGATAGGTGCTCGTTGTTTCACTGTCCTTTCTGTCCTAGATGTATATTTCTTTCTCGTCAATATATGGGTGTAAATCGATAATGCCGATGTGTAACTTTCAACTTGCTGACTCAACGCACCAGAGACCCGGTTGATGATCATCCAGTCATCCTCCACGTCTGTCAAACACAGCGCACTCGCTCACCCATACATGATGATTTCGGTAACAATGGAAGCCGACGCTTTCATTTAAGAATATATTACCTTTGAAAAAGAAATAACCTGTCTTGATAAATCGTTCACCATTAACATTCAACTCGCCTGTAGAAGCACCATCCAATATGTGCATTAGTGCTGTACAGTTTTACTGTACTGGTATTTCTTTCATGAACACAAATTTTAACATTGTTTCCAAACAGATTCATTCTTTCCACAAAAATGTCATTTATTTCTTATTTTTTTCACAATTTCAACATGTCATATACATCTAGAGTTGCATTGATCCTTCTCTCGTATGACCTTTCAGCATGAACTCACTTTTTTATCTATCAGCTTTTCACATGATTTCAACCGTGAAGTTCTTTCTCCTTCTTCCCCTTTAATGATTATCTGTCTTCTATTCTCGCTGCTTTGCTATTTCGCACATCATTAGCTGTCAATTAGAACTTCCTCATAGCTATCAAAGAAGACTTAAATTGTCATTAGGCATGTTTACCATAAAACCTGTCTTGCAGTAGAAATCGCAGGCCTTTGATAGATTGTGTATTTTTACGCGCAACGCGACTTGTCTACTATCACTCTTTACACAAAGCAACAGCCTCTCTGTACTGGGTTGAATTTCAAAATGATGGTATACATGTTTCCACAACAGAAGCAGACAAATACGCGCTCTCAAAGCTGTGATCCACCATACTTCCAGCATGCTTTAGTCTGAGTAATGGCCCATTAAAAATGAAAGTAGAAAACAGAAAACAAACTGAGGGTCTCAGGGGGCATGGCTGTTTTGTTGGAAAAAGGGAGTTTTTCCTCTGGTTGAACTCAAATAAAGACTGCGTTGTGATACAAAAATAAACTGATTCTCCTTTTTTTCACAGAAAGAGCGTACAAATTTGTTTAAAAGCAGTGACCACAAAGACATCTTTTTTAGACTGAATCAAAATTTAACGTCACCTTGGCATCATTCAACCATATGGGATGGGGAATAGGACTTCTGCTAGAGGCGACTAACGGAATCAGGTGGTCAGGCTCACTGACTTGGTTGATGCATGTTACCGTATCCCAAATGGTGCATTGATACTCATGACGTCAATCACTGGATTGTCTCGTCCAGACTAAATTATTTACAGACCGCCGTCATGCAGACGGAATATTGCTGAGTGCGGCGTTATTAAACAACAAACAACCAAACAAACGAATCAACCATACAGCGACTCCTGTTTCGAAGCAGCCACACACAAGTCGCAGTGTGAAGTATACGTGTTCGCAGTGAAACCCCATTTCACTTCATCTGTAATGTTGCCATGAAAAGTATTTCATTTACATCAAAGCCTGTAAGCTTAAAGGGTAAGGTAGGAAGGTGACGTGAACATAATGTTTCAACTCAAGTAAAACCAAAGCGGTTCTATGCTCAATCAATATTTCATTAATCTTTTGTATAGTATCAACATATGTCTATTGTAAAAACTGATTAACATCTTGGAATTACTTTCTCATCATCAAGACAGCAAGTGGCCATGACACATAGATTGTTGCATAAGATCAACTGAAGCGATATGAGGAAGCTAAAATATATAAAAAATGGACATACCCTGAACCTTATATATTTCTTACAACATGAATTAGATTAAATATTGAATATGCCTGCGCAGTATGGGATGGTTGTTCGCAGCAGTAATGTCAAAAACCTCAATAGAAATTTGCTGGAATTGTTTAGGTCTTCCACAGTATACGCTGTTAAAGAATAAATATTATGAGACTATGATTGGCAAAGACAAACGATAACCGTAAATTGGGTTTGTTTTATAGTCTTACTTCTTCATAAGGGGCGGTCGGATAGCTTAGTGGTTAAAGCGTTCGCTCGTCACGCCGAAGTCCCGGGTTTGATTCCCGACATGGGTACAATGTGTGAAGCCCATTTCTGGTGCCCCCCGCCGTGATATTGCTGGAATATTGCTAAAAGCGGCGTAAGACCATACTCACTCACTCACTCACTCACTTCTGCATAAAAAAACATTCAGGACATGCTTCCTGATATTGGTTACGCCAATAAGACGGATAATTTACGAAATTGTCACAAAAGTATGCCAATAGTCACTAGAACAAACAATTCGAAGATTATCATCCATCCACTTAAAAAATGTTGAATACCTTTCCAACTTCAAGATAAATCTTAAAATATGTACAACGACTTTCGTTTTACTTGTATATTACCATACAAAATATACGATTAATCACTCAAAATAAAAGTTAGTTATATACTGAAACTGCCAATGCCACTAATGTAAATTTAGATACAAGATAATCAGGGCTCTCATCAATATCTTCCAAATCGATTCTAAGGATATCTAACTGGGACTTTACATCAGCATTATCAGACTGTTGTCCATTGAAAGTGACATTCAGTCTCCTCTTTTCAGTAATTTGTTTGCTTGATTTCTGACAATAACTCGCTGCTGTTTTCTAGTCTACTGAGTCTTGCAGTCGTGACCGAAATCGGCTAAAAGTCTCGCATCTAGAGTCAAGTTCATCATACAAGATAACAAGTAAGCAGTGAAATGCGCTGAATGTCATAGTGTACGTTTCAAAGTTTGTAGTTCAATATATAGCTCTTGGAATCAATAGATGTGATTCAAACATCCCCTGAGAATTAGTTTACTTAATGAGGTGAGGTGAGGTGACATGGAATTCAATGTCGCTAAAGTGCTAGGTATTGATATCTTACTCAGGCGCTTGAACTTAATGCCAAACATAGGATGAAAGACTCAAGGTCGTAGATGTTATAGTTCGGTGGAGTAGCTAAATGGGTAAACCGTTTGCTCGTGACGCTGACAGCCCAGGTTAATTGTATGTTATAAAGATGAGAAGGAAGGTTAATATAATTTGTGAGACTAAGAATATTGTGGAAGAGGCTACACGAAGAGCTTTGGTACCTTTTTGCTGCAGGGCTTTAATAATTGCTGTGTGTTCTTCCTCCATACGTCTGTGGTTAAGGTGGACCTTGTACGTATAATCTGCCGGCTTGGGGTGAAGGCAACAACCCGGCCGCCCAGCTGTCCCTTGACTTATGTTGGCAATCCGTCGGTTATATTTATTTTTCGCATGGTCTCGATGGCGCGGACGTTGTTGGCTCCGCGCCATTAGAGCTGAGGAAACATGGCCGACCATACGATGGTGGCAGCTGGGCAGAGCAGGCAGATATGTCGCAGATCTTAATATATAGAGTTGAATAAATGCTTGGAGGTCACCTGACACAGGTCGTTTGACGCAAGTTTTATGATAATGTACGACCTGCATGGGCCCCTCTCCGCTAGAAGCTGGCCAATCCACCCCTTGAGTTCTTCCCATCTGAGACCTCCCCTGGCTGACCATACCACTCCCCTGTCAAGGCCGAGGTTGCTGCGCTGAGGCCCAAGATAGCTGCGCAGCCTGGCACCCAACGATCCAGGCTGGCCCTGTAACCCATAAAGCAGAGTGATGTAAGTATTATCTGAGCAGTTGAACTATTCGGATGTAAGTTTTGTATGCAGCTGATGTCCACTGCCCAACTGCTGAAAGTGCTGTGGCTGGATACCCTGTAAAACAACTGTTGTCGCCAATCCGATACGGAAGGAATGTAAAGAATAAAGATTAGATTAGCAATAAAGGTCTTTTTCAGCACCGCCGGCAACTGAAATTTTGTGAAAGGTGAAGAGTTTGCATGTATATATAAATATCCACTTGTTGCTGGCCATACTGTCAAGAAAGATGCCAGGACTTGGACTGGGCATAGTATGGACTGATGAGCGGCCTGGATAGAGATGCGAGTGTCGCAACATTGCTGATCCGTCTTAGATTTTCTTCAGACAACCTCAGTGTAAGATAGGTCGCTGGCAAAGGACAGATCGAATAACAGAAATGCCCTCTGTGCTGTGTCCTAAATCTGTCACTACTTCGCTTACTCTGCAAAAGCCAAAGATAACGGGTATGCTGAAGAGAAATGAAGTGACTGATGATGATGATGATTATGATGATGATGATGATGATGATGTGCCACTACATGTGATGTCACGTTTTCATTCATCCCCACGTATTCATCGTGTCAACCAGCTGCGCATAGCGGTAACTCCGTCCGCCGTTCTCCCAGGTTCACATACGCCTTACTTTTACTTTGTCCGCAGTCAGCACGATAGGTATTTAACACTTGTCACATATATATTTACTTTATTCTAACTCGGTGTTAATCAGTATCAGACATTATTAGAAAAATTGATAAAAACAATGTCACATTTTTATTACACTGATGATGATAATGCTAAAAATAAATCCACAACTATAACCATAACCACACAGTAAATACATGTTTTTTTGTTCGGTTTGTTGTTTTACGTCGCACTCAGCAATATTCCAGCTATTTAATAGTCGAGTCTGGACCAGACAATCCAGGGATTGACATCATGAACATCGATCCACGCAACTGGGATACGATGACATCAGGCTGCCACGCCATGATATTGCTAAAATAATGTTCAAAGCAGCGTTAAAACAAATTCGCTCATTCCAAGGGTTTAACGAGGCCTGTCAACTTACGATAAAAAATCGAAAATGACAAAAGCCACCAAGTGCTCGTGAGTCGGCGCTGTAAGAGACAACGTGCTGGCGAGATAAATAAAAACACACTTAACCACATATCAATCGATTTTGACGCATAGTGGCTTGTTGGAAAGCCCTCGAAAATCTAAGACATCTAATAAAAATCCGGCAGGTGTATAATGGGTGGTTAGGGACCTACAGCTGGTATCTACACTTCTTGAAGGGTCTACCGCATGTTTTGTTTGTCTGTTGTTTAACGCCGCACTCAGCAATATTCCAGCTATATGACGGCGGTCTGTGTAAATAATCGAGTCCGGACCAGACAATCCAGTGATTGATATCACGAGCGTCGATCCACGCAAATGGGATCGATGACATACATCAACCAAGTCAGCGAGACTGACCACCCGATCCCGTTAGTCGCCTCTTACGATAAGCATAGTCGCCTTTTACGGCAAGCATGGGTTGCTGAAGACCTATTCTATCCCGGATCTTCACGTGTCTCTTCCGCATGTGCATGGTCGGATCTAGGGTGTTCACTTCAGTATACTTGGACAGACAGACAGACAGACAAATGTATTCGGTACTTCAGGCCACCGGCCCATCTTACAATGGAAATATACTGTATATATATTTGCATACTTGGGACAGCACATACATGTACCCCTTTTCAGGGTTATACTAAGTTCCAATCGTTTTGGTCACTAACAAGGGTTCTAAAAGGCCTGTTTATTTATGAAAACTTGCAAATTAGCACTTTTCCAAAGAAACAAGATACACGTAGGTTGGGATTGTAAATTCAATTTGCTGGCGAGATCAGGCGTAACTCCAGCCTTTGGTGTCTAAATTTCACATTAACGTTTGAGATACAATCGAGCATGCCTTTTCTACTAATAATTCAAGTAAGGGACACATGCTCTAAAGTTGTTTGAGGGGTAGTCGGGTAGCCAAGAGGTTAAAGCGTTCGCTCTTCACGCCAAGGACCCGGGTTCGATTCCCGACATGGGTACAATGTGTGAAGCCCTTTTCTGGTGTCCCCCGCCGTGATATTGCTGGAATACTGCTAAAAGCGGCGTAAAACCATACTCACTCACTCACCGCTGTGTCGCCCTGCATGATACAGCTGAAAAAAACGTTCGTCGCACGACTCCGGATATGAAACGCAAGTTACGCTGTAATTCGTATGGGACTACCTCGAGCATGTTTATCAATCACCTAAATATTCTAAGCCCATGTTGATAAATGTATACTTATCAAAAGAAGTTAAGAATCACCTGATTCTTTCATATTACTGTAGTTTATCTCTCATGTCATGACAGATTTACTTTACCATTATGAAAGAATCGGGTGATTCTTAACTTCTTTTGAGTAGTATATTACGAACAAACACAGCCCTGGTCAAGAAAAGACTTATTTTAACAAAAAGCTACTCCATCACACGTACGTCCAATGTGTAGAATAACACACAGAATATATCACAGATATCCACGTTCATCGACGAATAAATCTAGCCTTGCTGTTAGTAAATATGTCATTGTTATTCCATGTAATTGTTTTCCCATGTCGCCGTGACGTTTCTTTGGTGCGGGCTTCCGTATTTGGAATCCCGCTGGCGACACAGGCTTTTTGTGAAACTGTTCTATCATCAAGGTTAGTGAAAGTTCCCGTTTTTTGCCAAATGGTGTTCAAGTTCAACTGTCAGTTCAGTTGTTGTTTCCGTTATGGACACAATATATATTAAGAACGCTTCACTCAATTAACGATGACGCACGTAAGCGTTTAGAGTTACCTCCCTTACATCGCTTCGCAATCATTTACAGTGTTTCGACACGGTCATCGAACGTCCATCTGTTAATTATTTATGCTTGCCCAGTTGATTAGCTGGACTTAGCCGGTTGCCCCTAGTAACAGCTCCAAAAAGACTTAAGCGCCCGTAGGTTACTTGGGTTGTATACTCCCCAGGGAGTTGAGAATGATAACTGGCCTGCCGCCGGATCCAATGATTGGAGAACAAATAAATTGCATTTGAGCAGATACGTCTGGATAAGTTCGCTATATAAATGTATAATATAATAATAACTTAATAATAATACGTTGCATGACTGATGATGTTGCGTAAAGCTAGATTCACTGCCGCTTCATCATTATGTGGTATATGATACTACATGTTTACGGATGTGTTTTTAAGTTGCTAAATTATCATTTTTGTTTGTTGTCTTGGTTACACACAACCAAATGTTTTCCCATAGACTTCTATAGTAACGTTATATTTCTTTCAAAAATAATTGAGCATCCAACAGCTATTACCTGTAGGTGTGTGTACAGTTGGGCCTTAGAGCAGCAACGAAAACAAAACAAATGACTTGCTCAGCCAGCTCCTTTTCCCGAGTACAGGAAGCTACACAACCCACCACCAGTTCCGCACTAAATGTCACCTACTTGAAAATATCTGTGGTCACATTCAGCATAAGTCATCATGTTGAAAAAGACAGTTCTAAATATAGAGAAACATGGTTTAATTTTAATCACTGGATGGATTGTACATTTAAAAGACATAAAAAAGACACGATATAATCCAATCCCAGCCTGCAGATATATCTCGATCTGCACTTAAGGCTGGTTCTGAGTGAGTGTAGTAGAACCTCTAACGCCGCACTCAGCAAAATTCCAGCTTCATGGCGTCGGCCTATAAATAATCGAATCTGGGCCTGACGATCCAGGGATTGTTATTGTCAACAACGCTCCATGCCGTCGAGTAACGATGACATGCTATCTGATCCTTGCCACTCGATCCAATAATGTGCTGCTGCTGATCGTTGTTAAAGTTGTCAATCACTGGTTTGTCTGGTCCTGTCATACACATAAAGATGTAACATTGCTGTCTTCGGCGTAACACATATTTTCCACGTTTAGTCCCACGTTACATATTTCGAAAACACTATTTGGTATTGGGCAATTCACTTTACTCGCCTTTTTATGCATTATTGAACGACCTTTTTTTCTGAAAATATACTTTACCTCATGTTTTAACAATATTGTTCTCCAAATATGCTGGTGCGCTGATAGATCAATAATTAATACGAAGTTCTTCTCTAACTGTTATGTCAGGTCCTCTCCCCCGAGAACATTAAATGTTTGGTCTCTTTTTAAACAGGGACGGGTATTTTATTTGTTTTAAGTAATCCGGGTTCGGAAAGTCTAAAAATAACGCGTTGTGTTATACTTCGGGAGAAAACATATATGGAAGCAAAAGGAAATTTCCGTCACAAATTATTTGTTGTTTTTGTTGGGTTCTTTGTTTAACGCCACACTCAGCAATATTCCAGCTATATGACGGCGGTCTGTAAATAATCGAGTCTGGACCAGACAATCCAGGGTTTGATATCATTAGCATCGGGGCGGTCGGGTAGCCTAGTGGTTAAAGCGTTCGCTCGTCACGCTGAAGACCCGGGCTCGAATCCCGACATGGGTACAATGTGTGGAGCCCATTTCTGGTGTTCCCCGCCGTGATGTTGCTGGAATATTGCTAAAAGCGGCGTAAAACCATACTCACTCACTCACTCACTATCATGAGCATCGATCCACACAATTGGGATACGATGACATGCATGAACCAAGTCAGCGACCGTGATAACCCGATCCCGTTAGTCGCCGCTTAAAGCTGGATAAGTTTGAAAGCACTGAATCACTCACACAGAACAGGATACTAGGCCTCCTTCCACAAGGCGACCTCAACCGTACGCCTCTTGTAAGTCTGTGTTAAAGTATTTAATGATTTACGATCGTCGTAGCGCTGACATTGCTTTGTGGAACGGGGCCCAGGGATGTTACCATGAGCGACATTCACAATCCAGAGTCGCTTCAGCTCATTTGCATGACGATCACGACATGCACGGGCACAATAGCATGACATTCTCCATCGGTAACGCAATGAGGTTGAGGTGTACTGTTAACGTATCAGTCATGTTACGCATGTGAGTGATAGCCTGCCTGACACGATTGATTGCAACATAGCTTTGGAGCAAGCATTAACATAAGATGTTATCTGGTTGCCCTTCAGACTGACCTCTAACCCCTCGGTTTACCTGCACAGCGCCATCTGGCAGGCCACAAAGTGGACAACTGACCATTCGGTAAACAAACAAGGACCTGTCTTTTCCGATCGAAGACATGGCGGAATCGGAAGTCAGAAATGTCGTGATCGCAATGGACGGAAGTGATATCGCGCTTCGTGCTTTTGATTGTGAGTATCAATACTGTTGAATCAAAAACATAACTTGATGTTGAATTAAGTAAGTGATTATGGTTTTGCTTGTGGCAAAAGTCCAACAATATCACGGCGGGGGGCACCGAAATGACCTTCACACATTGTACCCATGTGGAGAACAGAACCCGGGCCTTCGGCGTGACGATCGAACGCTTTAACCACAAGGCTACCCCACGGCCCCTGATATTGAAGAAAACTGATATATTCCAATATTAAAGAGCAGGAAAGTGTAGCACGTACAGGGGCCTTGACTGTTAAGATGTTTCCATCGAAGAATGATGCGAGGTTCTGGTGCATCAGCGCGTTGAAAATGTTAATAATTATGTTTTTGCACGTATTTAAACAAAGGTGTATAGACATTGAAAAACAAGTCTGTAATGGTAATCTTCAAAGTTCTCAAAACTTCAGTGGTGTTTGTCCGAAAATAATTTCCACAATTATAGTTTTGTTAGGTATATTGATGTAGAAATATTTGAAATAAATACTGTTACATTTTGCTGCTCTTGACACAGCCCGTCGTAGGAACTGGCAGATATCACACACCTAGCATGAAATCCTATGTCATTTCTGTATTATGCACTCCGTTGAAGACGAATTCCATTTCTGCATTCTATACAGGGGTATGAACAAGTATTGTTCCAAAATATTGCTATGTGACAAACCGATTGTTTTCATTTAAAAAGTAGCATTATTAAGAAGTTTGCATAATTTGTATTGTTTACTCGGGAAAAGGGAAATGATGTTCTTAAGGATGTTCCAGTTACATATAAACTTGGAAGTATAATCAAATTCCTCATCTATGCACTGTATGAATACAATATCAATATGGTATCTGTACATACAGCGCTCTTGTCACGCGACGTGTGATAATGCTGTATAATAGGTCGAGGACTGTACGTGAATAAGATGCAGTCATCAACTCTGTTATCATGCCTTGTGGTATGCTACCTTGAGTGCGTGTGTACGATGCAGAGAACGTGTATGTGTTATCATGGGTGTGCAAGTGATACAATGGTCGAGTATATGATATAACTGACATGTACATTATACAATGGGAATGTATAGGAGATCTCATGGACGAGAACGTTATACGATGAACCCCTGAAGATCTGAGTTAGAATGCGTCTTCAGCAACCCATGCTTGCCGTAAAAGGCGACTATGCTTGTCGTAAGCGGCGATTAACGGGATCGGGTGGTTGATTCATGTCATCGTGTCCCAATTGCGTGGATCGATGTTCATGATATCAATCACTGGATTGTTTGGTCCAGATTCGATTATTTATCAGACCGCCGTCATATAGCTGGAATATAGCTAAGTGCGGCGTAAAACAACAAACAAACAAACTATAGGAATTATTTACAGTACATGCTACTGTAAACGATGGATCCTTTTTAGATGATACGTATACGACGGACGAGTATAGGATGCGAAAAATAATGTATTATATATAATACGACCGACGAGTATGTGATATAGGGCGTATATTTATGACACAATGGGTGAGTATATGATACGATAGACAAGTATATGATATACGATGAACGAGTAGTTTTGGGAACGTCAAACTCTTATAACTTTTGACTATAACTCTCATTTCATTCAACTAGCATATACCATATCCACGATTATCACATTCATCATACCCGTGAAGATCCGGGGTAGAACAGGTCTTCAGCAACCCATGCTTGCCGTATGCGGCGACTAACAGGATCGGGTGGTCAGGCTCGCTGACTTGGTTGATGCATGTCATCACATCCCGATTGCGTGGATTGATACTCATAAGTCAGTCACTGGATTGTCTGATCCAGACTCGATTATTTACAGACCTCCGTCATATAGCTGGAATATTGCTGAGTGCAAACAAACAAACAAACATTAATCATTCAATGAATGGCTGTGATACGTTTAATACTGACATTTTATCTCCAGGGTACGTCAAAGAGATTCACAGACGTCACGACCACGTGATATTTGTCCACTGCCCCGAGTACAGGGCAACACTACAGTCAGGTCAGTGCCAGATGAACATACGCGACCGAGCCAGTCAGTGATTGAGTAATTGCAGTTTACAGCATGGTCGGCATATCTTATTGGCTTGCGTGCGCGCGCTTTTGCTTGTCCGAACAAAGTTTGGTTTTGTAGTGCTAGCTCACTGAGGTACCATACTGCTGTTACCCAAGTCGGACACCTTTTCGGGCAGACGCTCTATCCACTAGACCACGGAGGCGATCAGCAGCTGTGTTTTAAAGATGAACCTGACCTCTGTTAGTGTTGCTGTTAGTGTCCTCTGTTAGTTTAGTTTAGATGGTTGGTTGGTTGTTGTTTAACGCCGCACTCAGCAAGAATCCAGCTAAATGACGGCGGTCTGCAAATAATCAAGTCGAGACCAGACAATCCAGTGATTGATATCATAAGCATCGATCTACGCAATTGGGATACGATGACATGCATCAACCAAGTCAGCGAGCCTGACCACCCTATCACGTTAGTCGCCTCTTACGACAAGCATGGTTTGCTGAAGACCTATTCTACCCCGGATCTTCACGGGTATTGTTGAGATGGACCCCGACCTCTGTTAGTGTAGCTGTTGAGATGGACCCTGCCACCTGTTAGTGTAGTTTATCACTTGTATCTGACTAAACTCCGTGTTCGGCCTGTTTCAGCAATGGTGGAGTCTGAGCTTGCATCCCTGTTGGCGGAGGAAGCTAAGCGAATCAAGTCCATGGTAGCTGAACTCGGGGATAAGCTAAAGAAAGCCAAGGTACCTTACGGCCCAATGCTGTTTTGGGACTCCCATCTTTAACGTCAAATATAAATAGTTCATCGTTTAAAATTAGTGCATTTTCAAGCTTGACGGATATTGCTAAAGTGAACACTCCTGAAGCTTAGGGTCGGCGATAATTTCCAACGAATATGTTGAATTAAAAGTATTGTAGCTTTTTCCTGCATTAAAATCCGGCAAAGTAGCTGAAAGGGGCTGAAACTATGATCCGTCACTCATGTGATTTGAAGTGTTGAAAACCAATCTCCTGCATTGAAAATATCATCATGAGTGATCTCCCTTTCAGATTGGCGGGAAAGTGAAGTGCGTGTATGGGACACCAGGGGAGGTAATCGTGGAGGAGGAGAAGGCGGATCTCATCATCACAGGGACTCGCGGGTTGGGGTCGATACGGCGGACATTTTTAGGCAGCGTCAGTGACTACGTCGTACATCACAGTAACGTCCCCGTACTCATCTGCCGTCACCAGGACTAGAGAAGACTTCATTTCCTGGCGCAGTACCACACATTAGCATACTCAGTCCGCTTGGAATATGTGACGTTCATTTGTGGCATCCCAGGCTAAACTGCCGGGCTAAAGAAAGTATACACTGAAAATTGGATTAATCCACAAACTTTTCAAACGTTATCAAAACGCTACTAGGCTGAAAACAGTCGCTGAAACACTACACACTTAAGGTCCAAAACAAACTACAAACCCGTATTAACGACATCAACATCGAATAACCATTATCGTTTATTTCATTTTTAGCCACCATCAAGCATGGGTGTACTTTCTTTTGCCCGGTAATGTATATAAGCTGCCGCAGTGTTTATACCCTCATAACCTTTCTAAAACATACACCAATCCCCTCCTCCCTGTTATCGCTGTAGGGGCCACGGGTGGCCCAACCGTCTAAGGCGACGCGATTCGCTGTGCAGAGTTGCGTCCCTTGAGCACACCAGAAACCTATGATTGTGGGTTCGAATCCCGGTTCGCCCCGATTATGTTTCTAGGTACCATACTCGTGCTCGTGGGTTTCACCGAAGTGGTAAACGTCTGAGACCTGCACCACTTCGGACTTTCCACCCACATTAACCTGCCACGCCGCGATATAACTGGAATAATGTTAAAAGCGACGTTAAACACAACTCACTCACTGTTATCCCTGTAAATAACTTCAGCGGGGTAGGGGTTGGGGTGACAATGTATTAAAATCAGATCTACATTTCCATGAGGTCTGGGGCGGGGTACATGTAGGTGGGGTGCACAAACCTAATTTAGCGTTTCGCGCATGCATTATACTACTGCAACAAAGCTCTGTTATCACTACAGCTGCTCTACCGGATGGTGACCGGGTCAGCTGTTATGTAATTCTATTGCCAGATGACATTAAAGTATGGAGATAAATCTTGACTGTGAATGACCTCATTATATCCCCTACCATGAGTAGTTCAGTCTACACTTGTCAGCTGTATCCGTCCGACCTCGTAAATGTATGCCACCCTTGTTATAACCTTGTATTATACACTCATGAAATATAGCATGTAAGAGACACCCGGTTGGTCTCTTGAAATGTTGATAGCCATGTTGAAGGATGTATTCTTGTCTATTTCTTATCGTTCTCATATATCAGTTCTGAATAAATCATTACGTTATGACAAAGTAAATATATCTGTTTTGTTTGTTTTAACTTACGATTCGAATATACGTAATCCACATTCAGAGAGTATGTGTCAAAATCTGAATTCGAAACGAAAAACGTTCGTGGAAACTAAGAAAACACTGACCTAACTGCGGTAACATTTACATCCTAATTTCCAACCACGAAACAAACTTGTATGCCGTCAGTGGACAGTTCTGTAATTAAAACTTGATCGGACTAAAGGCAGTAAGATAAACTGGAGCGGCCACAGAAAGCACGCGAGTGAGGCACCAGAGGCACAATAACATATAAGCGCATATCCAAGGTTACATTTAAGTACATAAAGATACGCATATGCAGAAAAAACAGACTTTGAAGACGTATAGATACACATGCCACTTACATTCTTGAAACCCCTTGGCCAGTCTAGATCAAAGGTATTTAAAAACAATTCAACATGCTGTTTTCATGGGTATATACTAATAATGAAAAATCAGAAGAAACACTTAGATACACATGAAGTTCTTTTAAACTGCAGAAGAAACAGGTAAAACTACATTAAGTAAACATGAGAAAAAGCAGAGACACACGTATGGTAGAGTAGATGTCCAGACGAAGATTAACACAGGATCCGTGAAGATCCGGGGTAGAATAGGTCTTCAGCAACCCATGCTTGCCGTTACAGGCGACGAACGGGAACGGGTGGTCAGGCTCGCTGACTTGCTTAATGCATGTCACCGTATCCCAAATGCGTGGATCGATGCTCATGATGTCAATCACTGGATTGTCTGGTCCAGACTCGATTATTTACAGACCGCCGTCATATATTTTCAGAAAGTGTGATCCCAAATATAACATTTGTTACATTTGACCTCTCTCTAAATGACATTGTGTGTTCATAGCTTTCGGCCGTGGGAGCCGTGCCAATTTACACTTGTCAGAGGGGTACACGAAGTACGTGATGTAGACTACCAGTTGACGGATTTTCATTCAGCTGGAATTTTGGTTAGTGCGGCGTTAAACAACAAACAAACTAACAAAATTAACACAGATGTGCATAAGAACACGGATAAAGAGCTTCGCAGAGGGAAAGCATATTATGCACAAGGGAAAGGACAGAGATAAGGGTTGGGAAAGCACGAATATTAGCATGTAGGATAATAATTTAGGCGAAGCACTGAGATAGATTATGGGAAGCACACTGCGTATGTACGTGTTTCTTCATGAAATGTACCTACCTATTTCTTCTTATACGTATCTTCGTGTAATTTCTTGCGACGTATCTACTTGTTTCGTAATGTGTACATCTACATTTTTCTTGTTTCTTCTTGTGCGTATCTACCCGTGACATATCTACGTCAGTATCACAGAGGGAAAGCATAAGCATCAGGAAAACAAGAAGATTAGCGTGTAATAATATATAATTAACGTGAAGCACTGAACTCGAACTAGGAATAGTAAAAATACAGTGCGTATCTACGTGTTTCGTCTTGTGATGCATCTACGTGTTTCTTCTTGTGATGTATCTTCGTGTGGTGTATCTACGTGTTTCTTCTTGTGATGTATCTACGTGTTTCTTCTTGTGATGTATCTACGTGTTTCCTCTTGTGATGTATCTACGTGTTTCTTCTTGTGATGTATCTACGTGTTTCTTCTTGTGATGTATCTACGTGTTTCTTCTTGTGATGTATCTACGTGTTTCTTCGTGTGGTGTATCTACGTGTTTCTTCTTGTGATGTATCTACGTGTTTCTTCTTGTGATGTATCTACGTGTTTCTTCTTGTGATGTATCTACGTGTTTCATCTTGTGATGTATCTACGTGTTTCTTCTTGTGATGTTTCTACGTTTCTTCTTGAAATGTATCTACGTGTTTCTTCTTGAGATGTATCTACGTGTTTCTTCTTGTGATGTATCTACGTGTTTCTTCTTGTGATGTATCTACGTGTTTCTTCTTGTAATGTATCTACGTGTTTCTTCTTGTGATGTATCTACGTGTTTCATCTTGTGATGTATCTACGTGTTTCTTCTTGTGATGTTTCTACGTTTCTTCTTGAAATGTGTCTACGTGTTTCTTCTTGTGATGTATCTACGTGTTTCTTCTAGAGATGTATCTACGTGTTTCTTCTTGAGATTTATCTACGTGTTTCTTCTTGTGATGTATCTACGTGTTTCTTCTTGAGATGTATCTACGTGTTTCTTCTTGTGATGTATCTACGTGTTTCTTCTTGTAATGTATCTACGTGTTTCTTCTTGTGATGTTTCTACGTTTCTTCTTGAGATGTATCTACGTGTTTCTTCTTGTGATGTATCTACGTGTTTCTTCTTGCGATGTATCTACGTGTTTCTTCTTGTAATGTATCTACGTATTTCTTCTTGTGATGTATCTACGTGTTTCTTTTTGTTGCTATCGACGGCTTTTTCTCATCTGCGCGTTACATATCCGAGCTTAATGGTAATATTATTGACTTCTTTGTCTTCCTTACAACCGAACAACACAGCACACGTGACTATCCTGTACGTCACGTGACCAGCACACGTGTCATGTGGAAGATCCAGGTATCATGTGACCACCGTAGACGTCTCCGTCCAATAAATATTCGACACGATATTTCATTTCTTGAGAATCAGGTTATTCACAGTCACAGATATGGGCGACATATGGTATTCACAGCTATCAGATTTCTTCTACGCCGGGGACCCTAAATATACACGGTCAAGGTCACCTGATGCAAGGACTTAGAAGAGCGGTGTGGTAGCATTGTGGTTAAAGCGTTCGGTCGTCGCGACAATGGCATGGGTTCGATTCTCCACATGGGAACAATGCGTGAAGCCGTTTGTCCGCGCAGTAATATTACTGGAATATTCCCAAAAGCGGATTTAAAACTATATTCACTCACTCATACAATGTAGACAATCTCATAGATAATGCGGGGGCACGGGTGGCCCTGTCGTTAAGGCCCCGTGATTTGCTGAGCAGAGTTCCGTCCCTTGGGCACACCAGAAACCTATGATTGTGGGTTCGAATCCAGGTTCGCCCCGATTATGTTTCTTGGTTTGTTTGGCACCATACCCGTGCTCGTGGGTTTCACCGAAGTGGTAAACGTATGAGACCTGCAATACTTCGGGCTTTCCTCCCACATTAAGCTGGAAAACTGGTAAAAGCGGCGTTATACCCAACTCACTCACTCACTCATAGACAATGCATACCGTTTTATTACTAACATTCTGTCCACTCACTTTTGCGCCACGAATAGCTGCATGATTGTTAATGCGGCGTTAAGCATTCACTATAGACATGTATCAACTTACGGTCTCTGGACTTCCTGGTGTAAGAGTGTGGAAAAGCAACGCAATGGATTCGTATCATGGTAGCATGTCTCTTCCAGAAAACAACAACAGACCCCAGGGAAATTAATTGTTTTGTAAAGATGTAATGTGTATGTTTACGACCTTTTGGCATTAGGTTATATATGTCTGTACAGAGTGGAAGGTATTTAACACTTGTCACATATATCTTTACTGTATTCTTACAGGGTCTCAGCAGTCTCAGACATTATTAGTGAAATTAAAATTGAAATAAAAACATCTCTAATTCCACAACTGTAAACATAAAATATATACATGATATTGTGATGAAGATGATGATGATGATAATGATAATGATGATGAAGATGATGATGATGATGATGATGATGTGCCACTACATGTGATGTCCCGTTTTCATTCATCCCCACGTATTCTTCATGTCAACTAGCTGCGCATAGCGGTAACTCCGTCCGCAGTTCTCGTTCACATACGCCTTACTTTTACTTTGTCCGCAGTCAGCACGATAGGTATTCAACACTTGTCACATATATCTTTACTTTATTCTAACACGGTGATAATCGGTCTCTAAAAACAATGTCATATTTCTATTACTATGATGATACTATATTACTACCATAAATATAAAAATAATAAACGCAAGAATGCTCGTGGTGATGACAACGACGACGATGATGATGATTAAGAAGAAGATGATGATATGCCACTACACGTATTCATTCATCCCCACGAAATTAGCATACGTAGCTACGCACCAGCGGTAATTTTATCTCCGTCCACCGTTCTCCCAGGTTTACTTTGTCCGCAGTCAGCACGATATCTTATTTCAGCGCCGGGGACATTGTGAGGGTCACATAAATTAATACCGCGATCTCCTCGCCTCACACGTACTTCTCCGCCTGTGGTTGGGGCATGGTCATTTTCCTGCTATCCCTGGATTCCCCGGGACCATCGGCTATGCAAACACACCTGACACCCCCATCCCGCGCTAGGAGTATTCATGTCGAGTTTAATACAATACGGACAAGTCGATTAACCATCTGAACATCAACGCCGGTAATGTCGAATTACCAGGTTCCAGTGAAATCAATTCTTTTATTCGAATTTGACCTATCATAAGAAAGGTTGCATGAATTATACCCTATATGTAGAAAAGTCAACCCAAGAGCTGTCATAACATGACCATATAACGACATTACATAATATCACTCAGACCATAAACAAATGGCCAGTGACAAGTTCAAACCGCTTATCAACATTGCTCCGAGGAGTGAGCGCCATATCTCTCAGAAGGTGACCTGTAACCTGCAACCTCTGACCTCGTATCTCAGCCCTCTCAGAAATATTGTAGATTCTACTTTAAACCAGCATGACTTCACCACGGAATGTCGTCCTTGCAATGGATGGGAGCGACCATTCCACGTACGCATTTGATTGTAAGTAATGACATGTTTCTATGCACGTATATTCAAGCCCGTGTTATAATGCGGGAAGATGAAACAGTGTATAAAGTCAACATGTGCGTGTTAGTAGACACAGCTGTGTGTAACACAACACAGACTGTCCTTGTACTCTTCACCTTACCGTGCAATAGATATCAAAGCATTGCGTTAAAACAAAGCGATCGGGCACTTTTATCATTTTCATCGACTGTCACTTTTATTATTTTCATCGACTTTTCATTTTCAGGCTTATAATGCCCAACCATATTACAAACTGTCTATTTTGAAAAATCTAGAAGAATGCATTTGGCAATTATATACGTAACATCTGTGGCAATTATATACTTAACATCTGTGACTCACCCGTTTGTATTGATCATCAGTTGAAATAGTTTGAATGTACGAGCGAGCCTGACATACGAGGGGCGTTCAGTAAGTTTTACATCTTCAATATAAGACCAAGTCGCAGAATATCTTTTGCACTTTTATTTTTCAATATAATCTCCATTCACCTCAATACACTTATTCCATTTGTCCTTCAAGCTTTTAATACCACTTTTATAGAAATCCGCAGATTGGCCCTCTAACCATGCCTCTGTAGCAGCCTTTGTAGGGCAGATTTCATTTGCCGGAAAAGGAAATAGTCACCGGGGGCTAAGTCTGGGCTGTAGGGCGGGTTATTTAACTGACGTGTATTTAACGGATTTCTATAAAAGTGGTATTAAAAGCTTGAATGACAAATAGAATAAGTGTACTGAGGTGAATGGAGATTATATTGAAAAATAAAAGACTTTAGTGCAAAAGATATTCTGCGACTTAGTCTTATATTGAAGTTGCAAACACTATTGAACGCCCCTCGTATGTGATGGACTTTAGTGTTAAGCCCATTTCCGATAATCTTCCAAGTGCGAATACATCCCACACTTGTATCCTTTCACGTCGAGTATATTTAAAAAAAATATCAGATCTGTTCTTACATAGGTGTCGGATGCTCTCGGTAAGGCAACGCATGGTTACCCTCTTTCCGAACACCTGGTGTCATCACTGATTTTCAGTGATCCATTCTTTTAATATTCAACACTGTTTTACCTCTCACGCCCAATGGAGTCTGTTTCGTCGGATAATCGAGACTGGTTATTCTCTGGCGTTGACGTTTTATATATTTGTTTGTTGTAAAATGCCGCCCTCAGCAGTATTCCAGCTGTAGGACGGTGATCTATATGTAAGTAAAACGAGCTTAGGTCAGACAATCCAGTGATTGATATCCTGAGCAACGTCACGCGGGTACTTGACACACAATCAACCATGTCACCAAGCCTGGTCGCCCGATTCATTGAGTCGTGTCGTGCAGTGGACACGGGGTGCTTGGGGCCTGCTTAACCCGGAGACCGGACCACCCGGGGTTTATTCTTACGGAAGACGACAGTAACGAGATCCATCACATAAAAGCATTAACACAACTTATATTCTTGTTTGTTGTTTAACGCCGCACTCTGCAATATTCCGGCTATATAACGGCGGTCTGTCAATAATCGAATCTGGACCAGAAAATCCAGTGATTGACATCATGAGCATCGATCCACGCAATTTGGATCTATGTCATGCACCAACCAGGTCAGCGAGCCTGACTACCCGATCCCGTTAGTCGCCTCTTACGACAAGCATAGTCGCATTTTAGGGCAAGCATGGATCTTCACGGGTCAACACAACTTAAAGTACATGTGGACTTAACAATTCGAAAACCGGGTCATGTTCAAGCGACATACACACTTATCTCTGAACATGTCCCTGAAAACAGATCATGTGTTATCTGAGTGACCCTAGACGTGGGATACGTGTCATAATAAAAAAGATAAGCGTGCACACTGCGAATGTATATGAATAACAGCCTCGTCAACAAGTGGACTCTCAAGCCAACCTTGTAAGAGTGAAGTCTGTAATATCACGGGGTACTCACACAAGTATAGTGCGTGGAGGGGTGACCTGGACTCACGCTCATAATAAGTGGTTATACCCCATATATTTAAACTGTTGAGTAAACATGTTCCCGACCAAGAAGAAGAAAATAATAAATTATATATATATATATATAATATATGAAAGTCTGATCCACTGATAAGCCTTTGTTTAATTACATGTATACTCTAACAACAAAGCTGTCTACATGTCTTGGCGTTATCGTGAACCGTTTCAAGAGATGTGTGGTTCAAAATCTGCGACCTATGTATCTTATCATTGCTGGTCATGTAATGTGAACAGCACATACATGCAGATTACATATTGGGTACATAGCATCCACAATTTGCGAGGTAGCCCTCTTTTCACACCCACGTGAGCCCATTAATCAGCCATACCCCGATCCTCTCTGAGTGACCTAGTCGTCTAAAACGCCGCAGTCCTTTGTTTATCCGGGTTAGTGTAGGTCTTCAGCAACCCATGCTTACACTATCAGGCGACTATGCTTGTCGTAAGAGGCGACTATCTGGATCGGGTGGTCAGGCTCGCTGACTTGGCTGATGCATGATATCGTATCTCAACTGCGCAGATCGATGCTCATGATGCTAGTCACTGGGTTGTCTTGTCCAGACTCGATTATTTACAGACCGCCGTCATATAACTGGAATATTGCAGAGTGTGGCGTTAAACAACAAACTTAAGAAAGAAACAAAGCAATCCCTCTCACCTATGGTCCTGGGTTTGAATCCCAGTTCGTCCTGATTATGCTGCCAGGTGTGTCCACACCATTCCCGTGCTCTTGGGTTTCAGCAAAGTGGTAAACGTCTAAACATTGCATCACTTCGGACATTCGTGACACATCGTGCTTAAACGGCATTAATTACCATGTCTGTCCCTTGTATCCAGTACGCGTATTGCTATTGACTTCCTCGTCTGCCCATTGCTTAGATGTTTGAAAAAAACAACACAATTCAAATACAATTTTGAAATGTTAGTTATTTTCATGGCGGTGTTAAAAATGCATTTTTGTTTCGTTATTAAAGCTATTTTTAAAACTGCTTCACTAAATACAACTCACAGAATTTTTTATTGAAAACATCGCCTTGAAGGGGTACTAGACTCGGGGGAATTAATAGCTTTCTTTTCAGTTGTTAAATTATAGTTATAAAATATAATAAAAGGAGCAAAGGGACTTCATCTTCAGCCTGATACCGCAGTAATCGAGAATTGCCAAGTATCATAGACTTGCATGGGCTTTATTGGATATATCTGTTTCAGGGTATGTAAGACAGACTAACGAGGACCCTAATTACGCAGGAGCAATGTTCAGTTTAGCTCGTCACGCACTGCATTGTCTGGATAGCTATCAGACTGAGGAAGTCCCCCTTAAACTAATATATGTCTGATTTCAGGGTATATGAAGAACATCCATAAGACCAATGATCACGTGATTATTGTCCACTGTCCGGAGTACCACGCCATCATGCAAGCACGTGAGTATTCATCTTACAACCCGGAGGTCACATGCCGGTCATTGTGTTAGTCATCAATTGTTTATTACTCAATTATGCAAGGGATTACTCTTGATATGCCCTAACTCCAGCTTCACCATGCCACTCTTGTTATTAGCATGGGGGCCGTGCGAACAATACAGTGTTGTTGTTGGGCTGTTGTTTTACGCCGCACTCAGCAAATTTACAGATATTTGACGGCGGTCTGTAAATAATCGAGTCTGGACTAGACAATCCAGTGATTGACTTCATAAGCATCGATCCACGCCATTGGGATCTATGACATGCTTCAACCAAGTCAGCGAGCCTGACCATCCGATCCCGTTAGTCGCCTCTTACGACAAACATAGTCGCCTTTTACGGCAAGCATGGGTTGCTGAAGATACATTCTACCCCGGATCTTCACGGGTCGTGAAGGATACAACAAGGCTGGTACCAAAGCGATATATCAAATAAGAATTTAACAGGGATTGGCGTTATATATTTCATTTAAATACACCTACCGTTTCATATGTTCAAAATTCACCAATCAAGATACACAGTTTACGTAATAGTACTCACGGGAAAGACAGTACAATAGTGAGTATAACCTGGGGTTGAGGTAAGGTGAATTGAGGTTTAACGTCACGTCCAAGATCATTGCACTTATGTGTGCCTGCACGTGCTATCCCACTGAGATACCATGCCACAGTACCATATTTTAACATCATTTTGGTATGACGCGGCCGGGGATCGAACCTCATACCATCCGCTCTCCGGGCGGACACTCTACCACTAGACGACAAAAGATGAGAAGATGTGGATACTGTTCGTGCGCCTATTCTTGGTGCGATATTTATATCCTTCAAATACGGAGCTGGGTGTACAACATTTTGGAAAAGGCGGGAGGGTGCACTTAAAAGACAGAAAAGATAGGCTAAGCTCATAAATAGGGAAACGATTTGCGTTTGTTAGCCCGAAGTTCATCAAATAATTGTTATATTTGTTGAAAACAAGTCACCAAAAGTTCTCTTCACACGTGTATTGTTGTCTACTGGGGACATGGGTGGCCCATTTGTCAAAAGTCGGTCTCCAAGACCCTACAGAATAAATTAAAAAAGGAGTCCAACTCAAGTCTAGAACGATTTGGCAAGTCTAGATTGCCTCAGCTCTAAGACTTAAGGATTGTTCTGGGCTCTATATGAATTTCATTTATATATTTAGATGATATAGATTTTTTAAAATAGGACAACTGTATTTCTGGGAGTAATTATCAGCCTAAGTCTTCTAACGCGTCGCAAATCACTGTGCAGAGTTGCGTCCCTTGGGTACGCGAGAAACCTATGACTGGCAGGGTTCGAAATTCTTGAGTTTCCCTAAAGTGGTAAACGTCTGAGACCTGCATCATTTCGGGCTTTCCTCCCACATTGAGCTGACATGCCGTGATATAACTGCAATACTTTCCAAAGCGGCCTTAAACCCAACTCATTGACTCACTATACACATCAACATATGCCTCCGCCCCCCCCCCCCCCCCCCCACCGAATCTGCGTGTGAAGATTTGTACATGAGGTTATTATTAAGAGTAGTTACACAACGCATCTGGGGGCCGTGATATGAACTTTTAGTTATATAACTCTCTGACACAATAGGCCTTAACGATACGCTGTCATGGGCAGGGCATTTTGTGGCAATAAATATTGGCTTCTAGATCTCATGATATCATGTAGTACCATGTGACCAGTGAACAAGGGAAGCTGTGCGACAATCCTACTGTATTAAGTGTGTTTGGGAAGGTCATTATCGTGATTATATAAGTTAAATCGCGGCGTGTCAGCAAAACGTGGGAGAAAGTCCCACAATGACGCATGTCGTTGACCTTTACGTATGGGTATGATGATCCAGGATCACAATCGGGGTGAAGTTAAACTTCGCAATCACGACGAGGTCACACAAAGGGACACAATTAAGTTTGACATAGGTTAGACATAATTTAGTTTGTCTTAATTTTGACATAATATCGATGAACACGCACTTGTTGAAGACCATAACACAGTGAAATAGTGTTGCCCCGTGAAGGTGCTGGTTAGAATTAGGTTTTTTTAGCAACACATCCTTGTCTAAAGAGCGAGTAACGGGACCGGGTGGTCAGGCTAACTGACTTGGTTGATGCTTGTCATCGAACCCAAATTGCGTAGGTGGATGCTCGTTGCGTTAATCACTGGATTGTCTGGTCCAGACTCGATTATTTACAAACTGTTTGATTGGCATTCTAGAAGTTGGCAAATACGTAAGAACAAACGTCCGACTCTATGGAAAACCACTTCTGATGTAGAAGTTTCGATGTAGATTCTTACACTGTCATCAAGCCTGACAACGGTGTAAGAATCTACATGGAAACGACGCTATATGCAAAAAAAAAAAGTAGAAGTTGATATCCATGAAGTTGAACGTTTTTCTTACTCGATTACTTACAGACCGTCGTCATCTAGCTGGAATAGTGTTGAGTGCGGCGTTAAACAACAAACAAACAAATGCTGAGTGAGATGTACCTCACTCACACATTAACCAACTCGCTTACTCCGTGATTCACTCGTTTACCCAGTGACTCACTCACTTACTCTGCAAGGCCCACTGTCAGATTCAGATTCTTTATTTAAGAAATAAACGACGACTGGGGTATGTTTATCGTACAATAAATAACTGCAGGGAGAATTTACGTTTTGTTTGTTTAATCAGATTGGTTCGAAAGGGCAGAATAACGGAATATCACCAAACTTCAATCCCTTGCATTACTACTATACTTATTAGAGCTGAAATGAAACAGAAATTCAAATTGTCAAACAAAGAAAATAATTAAGCTGGGGTAAGAGTATTCGGTGTCAGGGCAGTCATCACTTGTTTGTAAACATAACGGTGAGTACGTCAGCTGCGAGTTCAAATCGAAGCGTGTTTGTGGCCCCCTAACATAGTGGGGAACTTTGACTGGTGGCAGTGATAGTATAAATATAAATAGCGTCGTCCGATTTACGTCATCAAGATGCGAGCGAATTAATGTGAGCGAGTTTGGCTTTACGCCGCTTTTAGCAATACTCCAGTAATATCACGACGGGGGGACAACAGAAATGGGTTTCACACTTTACTCATATGGGGAATCGAACCCGGGTCATCGGCGTGACAAGCGAACGCTTTAACCACTAGACTACCCAACCACCATTGCCACCCTTTGTTCGAATGTCCAGGAGTTGCGTCCCTTGCGTACGCCAGAAACCTATGATTGTGGATTCGAATCCCAGTTCGCCCCGAATAATGTTTCTAGGTTTGTCAGCACCATACCCGTGCTCGTGGGTTTCACCGAAGTGGTAAACGACTGAGACCTGCATCACTTCGGGCTTTCCTCCCACATTAAGCTATATGATATGACTGGAATACACTCGCTCGAATGTCCAAAATGACGTAATGATAGAACAATGTTTTTGTTGAAATAAACCACACTTCGTTCTTCATTGTTCTTGACAATTTATCGCGTAGCTACCTTATATTTCTCCAAAGACCACGGACGGTGGTCCATGGCGTGAGTCAGATACATCAGCTAATTTGCAAGCTGAGAACCTGGTGCAACAGCTGGCTGATAGGAGATAGGCAATTGATAATTGAGTACCAACATTTACATGATGTTCAGTCCTTGTCTTAACTAGTCCACGTGTCTGTGTCAATATATATCTGCATATGGATATAGTCGAACACTGATGCATAGTCAATTAATCGACATTTGAATAATTTTGTAAAGAAATATCACAAATTAGCGTGGCATCCATTTCAATCCACAACGGAGTTGTAGATTATACGCCAACAGCCGGTGTTACCGTTCTTCTGATCCCCAATGCAGCTGAGTGTACAGGAATTGTGTACTCGGGGTTCGAAATCTGACGATGCGGTAAAGGACACTTATAGTCTATATATGGTCTGATATATGACAGCTACGCGATAAATCACAAAGAACAATGAAGAACGAAGCGTGGTTTATTTCACGATAAAACATTGTTCTATCATGACGTCATTTCTGTAGATTCGAATATGCCCCCGCAACTTGATGACGTCGTAAATTGGTCGCCGTTATTTATGAGAGGGAGGTATCTAGTGAGTTGTTCCCCGTAGATGGAGCAAGACAACGTAGATTCACGGAATGGCCGAACAATCGCACCGAAAAGTGTGAGAGATATAACAATGGGTATTTGGAGAAAAAGGTACAGATTATCGACGTACAGTTTGTGAGAATATGCGGGGAAGACCAAATTTAATCACCCTGTTCATAAAATGGACTTGTCCGACATTGCCGAGGTCGGATTCTTAACAGGGAGTCATCATTGTTTAAATACGGGTAAATATTTTTAACGCTTGTACATTTTATTAACACCATTAAAGAGGGCATACATGATATTGATGTCTTATATTAGAAATAAACGACTCGATCGTGGTCGTTGTTTTTCGTCCAACAAAATACTGCAGGGAGCTCGAGAATAAACCACTCGGGGCTGCACCCCTCATGGTTTATTCTCCCTGTAGTGTTTTATTGGACGATAAACAACTTCCACTCGTCGTGTATGTGTTAATAACCAGCGCTTAATTTAGGGAGAAAGCCAAATTAACGCAGGTCCACGTTTACTACTTTTGTGAAACTGATAAGAAGGGGTATAATGCAGGTCCTGGTTGCTAAGGGACACAACTCTACGCAAAGAGTTGCGACATCTGTGATGTTCAAACTCCAAGCACTTTACTTACCAATGTTGAAGCTGCATAATTGGCATTATGTGCAGTCCTGCTGATTACAATGTTTCGCATGTCTTCGTGTGTCTTCGTGGTTCAATCCCCTGTCCCCGGCACACCAAAAGACGTATTAAATAACATCATAATACTTGGTGTTACCTACCTGGCAATCGGTATTAAGGTGCTAAAACAAGGACCAGTCGACTCGGAGGCATTGAGTGAGTGAGTTGGGTTTAGCGCTTCTTTTAATAGTATTCCAGTTATATCGCGGCGTGTCAGCTTAATGTGGGAGGAAAGACCGAAGTGATGCAGGTATCAGAACTTTACCACTTCTGTGAAACCCACGAGCACGGGTATGGTGCTGACAAACCTAGATACATAATCGGGGCGAACCGGCATTCAAACCCACAATCATAGGTTTCTGGCGTGCCCAAGGGACGCAACTCTGCACAGCGAATCGCGGTGCCTTAGATCACTGGGCCACCCGTGCCATCTCGGAGGCATTGACTGCGGCAAGGTATCTCAGTGGGCAAGCACCATATTACCGACATAAATCTCTTAACACACTCGTTAATGCACGCCGCTGTGTAGATAATCTTGAGAGCGACGTTACTACACATATCACCTCTCCTCATGTGTTTGTTAATGCTTGCAGCGATGGTGTTGGCCGACGTCACGGCAGTGACAGAGATCATTGCGGAGGAGGAAACAAAGATCAAAGTGCTGCTCAACGACCTTGGGGAGAAGCTCAGGAACGCTGGGGTAGGCAAATCATCATGCAATGATAGACAAGAAGGCAACGAAGTTACCATACCCGTCGCACCTCATGTGTTTGATTGTGTGTATATTTGTTTGTCCTGTTGTTTAATACTGGATAAGATCCAGACTGGCATCTCTTCACGTCGACGATATTTTCTACTTGTTTGCTTGCTATCTTTTTGTTTGTTTTAAATGCCGCACTCCGAATATATTATTATTCCAGCTATATGAAGGCGGTCTGCAAATAATCGAGTCTGAACCTGACAATAGAGTGAACGACATCATGAACATCAATCCACGAAAATGGATACGATGACATGCAATCAACCAAGTCACCGAGCCAGACCACCCGATCCATTTTGCCACCTCTTACGAGTACCATATAGGTTGCTTGGGTCCTGCTTAACTGGAATCCCTACGGGCGGTGAACGGGCCAGAATAAATCTCCAGCACCCATTGCTGGTCATAACAGGCGAACAAAAGAGGGGTCGGTGGTCACCCGCTCTTATTCGACTGATTGCATATCGCCATTTACCGTTGACTGGGGACGCTGGTCATGCTTTTAGTCTCTGGTTTGCCTGGTAGAGGCTAGATTTAAGGGCGGGTTCACACGAAATTAGGATATATTTCTTGTACTTGTTCAACATGAAAAGTATTTACCTAGTAGTTTCATTGTCAAAACAATACAAACATCACAAGTAACTAATTTATTTTTTGCATTTAGTCGGGTCATATTTTTCACATTTACTGAGTGTTCGGTTCCCATAATAAACACACCATGGCTTATGTCCCTTGCAATATGACGTCATTGGTGCCAATTGATAAAGGAATGACGTCATAAGACTTATTAGACCCGTTTCACGTGGTGTAGGTAAAGGTGTGTGATTCTAGCGTCTCAGATGCGCAGCCTACTGTTATGTTCGGTGTTATGCGGGTCTTCATTTCGTTTCCACTTCGTGTTTATCGCGGCTCGTGTTGGTTCATAAGCTATGGTTTTACGATTTCTTGATGGGTCAAGGGAACTACTTGGAATCAGTCAATGTATGCCATGTTGTCTCATCATAAAGTGGTACTTGATATCTTTTGCGTTGTGACCAGACAAGGACCCAGTACATCATAACCCAAGGGGGGATAACTCTGTCCTAGTTATATCGGAAAACGAATGCTTCATTTCGGCGTAACATTTTTACACTTATTTTGTGCTGTTTCCTACTTCCAATGTGAGAAAAATGAGTGTATATTTAAAAACATTGATATGAACTTATTCTAAAAATTGTTTCAAATAAGAAAGAAAGTGCGTTTTGTGTGTACACCTCCCTTTGAAATAAAGGCCGCTGTAATGGGCCTACAAGTGGAATACTGGGATATATTGTATGTCTGTCTGTGATGTAGCTGGAATTTGGGGATTAACTGTCTGTCCTTGTGCTCGCTCTTGATGAAACAGTAATACCGGGGCGGTAAAACATAATGCGGTGTACATAATATGAGACTGGATCAAGCAAAGCATTGTCTGATATGGCATAAACAACGATCCATGACCCTGGGTCACAATGGCACACCATCAGTCAGCCAATTGAGTATCGGGATAGCGGGAAGATTTCCTGTCCAGATCACGACTGACTATGATAATACGATTAATAAAACGTTTTTAATCTCCCTTTCAGATTGGCGGGAAAGTGAAGAGCGTGAGCGGCCGACCAGGGGAGGTGGTGGTGCGGGTTGCCGAGGAAGAGGGCGCGAGTCTCATTATAACAGGCACTCGGGGCAACGGCACCATTCGCCGCACCCTCATGGGTAGCGTCAGCGACTACATCATACATCACAGCCACATCCCTGTGCTCGTGTGTCGTCGGAAGGATCATTCCCACGAACACTAGGTCAAGGCCCTACTCAGTTGCGTCTATCAGCATCCGGGTATCATGGGTCGTCGGCTAGGATATGCTCTGACTGGCGACAAGGATATCCGGATGATCAATCTGGTCCATGGTTTTCTATACAAAAACAAGAGCCATCGTGTCTGTAGGTGGGGGTCTTAAGACATTCAAGACGATTGGAGCGTCGTTAAGTGAAGTAGATGATGTTATGCCAGAGAGAAACGTTGGGAAATCTCGGGAAAATCTCGACGATCTGGCTTCCATTTGTCCGTGTGGTATAGATAGACGTTGTAATTGTGTTCACCAACCAACAGATCGATAACGTTTGAGTAAGCAGACAAATTGGAGTTTGGACGACTTGAATCAAATTTCCTGGGACAGCAAAGGCGTTCAAACATAACTCTGTTGACTGTAATTACAAAGTCTATCCCTAGGCTTGCACAGGGTCTTGACCATGAAACAGCCCCCCCCCCCCCCCCCAAAAAAAAAGACACCAAAGTCGTTGTTGTGGAAGAAATAGGACTGGAGCACAATACATACTCATATAATACAATACAATAAGGACGTGTATAACTCCAAACAATAATGTATTGAAGTCTGCTATGCGTCATTGACCTTTACTACAATAATGAGTCTGTCTGCCTGTATACATAAGGGAACATGTTTCAATGCATCAGATGAATATACGCTTCTGTGTTCGTTATAAATGTTGCATAACACACACACACACACACACACACACACACACATCCAATGGTCGGCCCCTTAGATAGTTCAGTAATCGGGTACGTTACCATGCCATGACATACCGTGTTCCGTTATTTTTTCCCATCGGTGTAAATTGCATAATCGGAGTCGATTGTACCACTAAATTGTAGTAGATCGACGTTTCATTGATTTATATTGTTTGACACACATGCCATTGTAATAGTTCGTCTATATATTCATCCTTAATTAATTATACCCAGCTTGTGTAAATGGATATCAGAGAGACACATATAATAATATATTTCACAAGCAGAAGAAACAAAAACAAACATTGAAAATTATTTAAGCCCCTTGATACTCATCCACATAGAAAATAAAACGTTAGTTCATGACTTGATTTTCTTTTCTTTGCTGTTCACTTCTGTCATCAACGTATAAAACAAGCAAGTCGGAGCCCTGTCTCAGAAGTTCTTGCCAGTCATTCCGAGGCGTGTCAGATTGACGTGAGGGGTAAAGCCCAGTGACGCCAGTCTTTGACGTTTAACACTTGGGTGAAAACGACGGGCATGCGCATTGTCGTCAAACCAAGAATCGTTATCAGGGAAACGAAGGGACGCAACTGTGCACCGCAGCAAGCAAAATGTGTGTCGTAAGTGGCGTTAAAAAATAAACAAACAAACAGTTGTCCAGCGGGGTGGAATCCCCTGTGCTCAGTTGTTTGTAACTTTGCTGTTTGACGCCCCACTCAGCAATATTCCAGGTGTACCAGACAATCGAGGCGGGATGTCATACACATACAGAATAATTGCTGTCTTCGGCGTAACACATGTTTTCAACGTTTAGTCCAACGTTACATATACATGGCAATCCGGGGTTGATATCATGAGCATAGATCCACGCAATTGGGATAAGATGACAACCACGAGCCTGCCTGACCACCTGGTTCCGTTAGTCCCCTGTTACGGCAGGCATGGGTTGCTGAAGAACTATTCTAACCCGGATGTTAACGGGCCCTTGACAACTGGGCCACCCGCGTCCTTGGACATACCCTGGTTGGTCAGGCGGTCCTCTGAAATGGCGCTTAAAACTCAACTGAACTCAACCCAACTGAAACCTGACTCCCACGGGTCGGCCCGTTGAATCGATATGCTGATATCGACTCGTCTGAGTGATTAATCGAATTCGACAAAAGGGACAAATCGGCCGCTCGAACCTGCATCGATTGTGTCGCGAGTGTAAGAGGTTGCAAATCGATTTTTCGATATTCGTTACACCGAACATGTTGTACACTGTATTGTATTGAAATTGGCCTGTCGTTACGCGTACCGACTCCCATGTGAGTCGCGCTTAAATATAAAGCACAGCATGGAAAAAATCCGGACCCAGAATTTTCAAGGTGCGTTTTGTTTGATTAAGAGTGAAAAACATATTGAACAAATATCCGAATATTACAAAGACGCGTGATATGACCGACATAATGATTGAAAAGGCTCAAAACCAAGCCAAGCATATACACTCACTAACAGCTAACCCGCCGTGCTGAATGAAATACTGCTCAACATGGCGCCTGAGCCATCTCACCGACTGCAACCGAAGCCGCCGTGATATAACTGAATACTGCTCAGAACGGCGATTAATCAACCCACTAAAAATAGACTCCGGGTAATAACTGAAGTACTGAACAAAAAACAGCTCACTCACTCAATGAGTGAAAGCAAGCCATGGTCACGGTTCAATAACGTTCTATATGTATAACCTGTCTAGTTAGTGTACTTTTTTGTATTGAGTTAATCACCTTCCATATGGACCCTCGTTGACCCCTAATGTGTCAGGTCACGTGTCATCATCTCCCACTGTTCAGACGTGTACATGTCGGTATTTCGAGCACGGTGCAGAGCGGTATATAACATGTATGCGTGATAGTGTCAGTACATGTATAATGCATTACAGATACTTGCTTATCTTCTCATTTTATATTCTCTCCCAACTCATGTTTATCAATTTCTCTGGAGAGAATAATTAGTATTTGAACAAATTCAAAATGTCAAAAAAACTTTGTGTCCGATCGATCGGGAACCTGCATCGGTAACATGGCATTCGACAATATACACAAACACACGACATTTGTACAGCTGCGTGCCATAGCTTGTGCACAGTTGAGTACAACAATTAAATATTTATATTTTTGTATTTATACCGTAAATACCGATGAAGAAGAGGTCGTAGGTGTAGTAACAGTAGATGGCTTTGTTGTAGGCGTAGCATCACTGTAGCGATGGACGTTGTAGTAACGAAGCAGTGGGAGTTTGATTTTAAACGCCGCACTCAGCAAAATTTGACTGATAAGATAGTAGTCCGTAAATAATCGAGTCTGGATCAGACAATCCAGTGATTAACATCATGAGCGTCGATCCATGTAATTGGGATACGATGACGTGCGAGTCTGACCACCCGATCCCGTTAGTCGCCCCTTTCGACACGCATAGTCGCCTTCTACGACAAACATGAGTTGCTGAAAACCTATTCTAACCCGGATCTTCAAGGATAAGTACCCGTGAAGATCCGGGTTAGAATTGACGTGTACGGCGTTAAACAACTTACAGCAGCAATACCAGTAGCATTAGCTAAATGTAGTGGTGTTGGATTTTTGATATTTGATATTTGAGTAACAATCCACGGCGTCGGGGTACGATGCCATGCTACCAATCACGTCGCCGCCACACATAATGCGACCATAACAAGTTATGAAAAAAAATAATATATTAATTAAAAGCAGTAGGCCTAGACTTAGTGTGGTGGCTTTAGTTGATGTAGTGAAAGTGAGTGAGTTAAAATTGAACGTCGCATCAGCATTATTTCAGCCATATACATAGCGACGAGTGAAATGTGCTGTAGAAATATTCGCGACGCATTTTTCACCATTTAGGAGAGTATTTTAATGGGTTTCGATATAAATCATCAAATATTAATTACCAGGTTAGGTCATCTGTAGCAACAACAAAATGGTACACGATGGCAAATATGATGTCCTTGCATGATAACTTGACTTCATAATAATCCCAAACATTAATCGTACCAATTACACAATCTAATTTAAGAATAGTTTAAACTACATATTATCATTACGTCTGTACGAACCGATCATGCTAAAAGTAACCTTTATCAATGTATAAACTGTCTACTGAATCAAAGATACGTATGTAGATAGTCAGCAAGAATTATCACTACACGATACAGATTTATTCGATAAAGAACGGTAACTGTGACCGCTGACCTTTTTAATGAAACCGACCTATTTTCGCGCAGTAATCGTTGCGAATTTGCCTGACGGCGCAATATCCACAGAGAATCTTGTTTTCCGCGAGACAGGGAAGATGGCAGAAGCTTTACACGAAAGAACAGTGGTCGTTGCTATGGATGGGAGTCATTTCGCAGCGTATGCCTTCGAATGTAAGTTAGAATATTTTTTCTGATAATTTCACTTATCGATCGTTCCTGCGTCAGTCAATGGGCAGCGTGTTGCCTCACACTGCTCTTGAATTCAAGCAATAATATGGTACGAAGAATGCTTTATGGTAATTTATAAATTAGAAAAGATATAGGTCTACATCTTCTGTCGGCGTCATCCGTTTTGATAACCAGTCAATCCAGAAGCAATAGCAATAACTGCCGTTCAGTTTTGTTTTGCTCGTGAGGTCAAGGACGCTATACCGGTGATATGACAATTTTCTCCCCGAGATATGTGATATTTGTTAACGCGCAAGTTAGTTGCATGGTAATATGTACGGCTTTTGATAGGGATAACAGTTTCAATCATGACTCTTTGTGAACAAAACTGGAAACGGATCCGATATTAGAAGCTATAGCTGTAGATTTATTTTAGAATTATGCATGCCTAAATATATTAATTTTTAATAGCATCTCTATACCCCGATTTGAATAAAAATTATATTTACGGACAAACTATGTAGGTCTATAATGAATCAGACTAATCACCAAGTGCATACTAATGGCCCTATATTATTATTACGCTGTTCTTTGGATCGATCAATGTGCGCCAACATTTCAGCGTCAGCTCAAAAGGGATATGTTCACAGCAAGCGGGCATGCTGTCGTGTCTTGTACATGTCAAATTGATGTAATGACGACACAGATGGCTGTAACGCTTCATAAGATCCATGTTACCCATAAATCTTTGATAAATTCCATCGACTTGCTCACTTCAGCGAACTGCCTTCTAACACTTGGCTTATTCGTGGTAGTTTTTCCCACTTATTGTTTCAGAATACTTCTACCAGACCTAAATCAATAAATTATTATCTTCCAGTCACATACATGTACAACATGCATTAATACACGTGTGACCTGAGCCATTACCCAGGGCCCCTCGTTGCTGATATCCAAGGAGGGCGTTGATTTAATACAATAATTTAATTGCGGATTTATGTTTTATTAGTAAAGTCAAAATCTTTATTATGCAGGGTACATGGAGAATGCTCACCGGAAGACGGATCACGTGATTTTCGTCCACACCCCTGAATTCCAAAGCGCCTTTACTACATCTTCAAGTAAGTCCAAAGCATAACATAGTACTTTACAAGTATTGACGCACCGTATTATCTCCAATAGACACCGGTATTGCATTAGTTGACGGGTCTCAAATGGACGCCAGGTCAAAATCAAATTTGAAGACGAGAGGTCCGCCTCTACGAAACGCCTCGTAAAAACGTATGAATAATCCCCATTTAGAACCATTTAATGACTAGCCCCTATAACACCATACATCTTCCCGAGGCAAGGGAGTTAACTGACTACAAAAGTCCAGTTTCCACCCTTGCCGAACAAGGCTGGAATTCCTGGGCTCGATCGTAGCGCCACCAGTGGCTATTACGAGCTATGTCCCTTATATGCCTCTCCTATGTACAATCCGATTCCACCTAACGTATCATTTTGTTTCAAACAAAACGGCGGCGCCCAGTCAAGACGATCTGATAGATAATAAAGATCTATCTTGTGATAAAACGGGTCTTACATCGCGAAGTGCATCAAATCACGCGAACACCTTAATTAAAAACATCAAAAGATTAGGTAAATATCTGTTGACAACGAGTTGGCGGTGCACATGCTTTGCAAATCCTGCAATCGACCGAAATCTGCACGACAGTTTACGAACCGGATTTCGATTTCGTTGAGCTATTTTGATTGGACTATGCATTGACTCGTTAGTCCAGCCCAAATGTAACTCCATAATACCAGCCTAGTTCGGCAAGGGTGGAAACTGGACTTTTGTAGTCAGTTAACTCCCTTGCCTCGGGAAGATGAGCATTAGGAAAAAGAGACGGCTTCATGAATAAACCCTGGACCCTTCTTATGAAACACGCCGGGGTCGTATATTAGAGTAAATGTTGACAAACCATGGCCATTTAAATGATACTGGAATAAAGTAATAATTGATTTATATAGCGCCTAGTTTCCATAGTAAGGTCCTCAACGGCGCTGTACCTGCACGAGAGAGAATATTTGCAAAACAGGTAAACTGACACTTCAGTGCTGGTGATCGTGGATCGCTGCGATCGCACATTATGTCAACCACTGCGCATGCAGTGAAACGTGATAATGTAACAATCAAGCAGAAAGCGACCTTTAATAGATGCGGCTTCCTGTCTTGGGGACTGCTATTGAGAATAAAGAGTGTCCTGCTAGAAAGGGAGGGGGATACTAGTATTATTCCTGTAGAGTTGCAGCGAATGTGCCCTACCTTTGCCTTCCTCTGTTGATCCAGTTCAGGACATTTTCTATTTTGTGGCGATGAGCGTACTGAAAAGAATATCAAACCATGATGTTTGCGACATGTATGTCCGTTGACACCAGAGTAATTTGTTGATGTGAAAATCACACACATATTACAACTGACGGATACTACGTGTTGAAAGCTACTGCCTTAAACGAATTCAGCTATGAATTCGCGTGCGAGTATCAAGATGTATGAACAGGTGCAGGATCTTGTAGTTATTGACAAGCCAAAACTGACCACAGGTTACCCTAGAATATCCATAAGAGGTGCGGCATATTATGTGTATGTACTTTGTAAATGCACGTTACACGTGGCTTCCTGTTTCCAGATCCGGAGTTTGTGGATCCCACGAGCAACTTGGTGATGGACATGTATCGAGCTGAGGAAAAGAAGGCCAGGGAACTCATTCAGAGTCTTAGGCAGCGGCTGAAGGATGCTGGGGTAAGGGGGCTTGGATGGAGAGGAAGGACTGGGGCTAGATGGAGAAGGTTTGAGAGTGATTTTCCAGTGTCTGGTCTGTGTTTTTAGTGAGACACACGAGCAGATTCTAATTTGGAGACACGACATTTCAACAATCATGTGAAGGAGTTAGAAGCTGTAGAAAATCGAGGTTGGGTGAGGAAAAGCCGGGACTTATTTAAAGGAAGAAAGCTAGAATATAGTTACTACGATTCAGGCAGACGCCGGGTAGTTGAAACCAGGCAGAGTGGTCAGTTGGGGATAGGAGACTGGCAACTCACGAAACACGACATTCAGCTGAATGTGTACCGATATATGGTATTGATATTTCATGTTATGCTTGACTTTTATTTACTTTGATTTACAGGTTAGCGGGAAGGTCAGATGTGAATCGGGCTTCCCGGGCCACGCGATCGTGAAGGTTGCAGAGGAGGAGAAAGCGGCGTTCATTGTAACTGGATGTCGCGGACAGGGAACCGTCCGACGGACATTAATGGGTAGCGTCAGCGATTACATCGTCCACCACTCGCATGTGCCAGTTGTCGTGTGCCGTCACAAAGGCCACTATACCAAACACGACTTTCATAGCCATCACAAGAAGAACTGAGGAGGAGACGACAGAATGTTTTCAACATCGAAGCACGCACATCGAATTGGAATGTTCACCGCAGGCGTTCTTGCACAGTCACCTTCACAGTCCATCTGGAGGTCATCCTCGATTATGCAGTGTATGTCAAAAGCTTGTTTGTTGTTTAACGCCGCACTCAGCAATATTCCAGCTATATGACGGCGGTCTGTAAATAATCGGGTTTGGACCAGACAATCCAGTGATTGATATCATGAGCATCGACCCACGCTATACTGATTCGATGACATGCATCAACCAAGTCAGCGAGCCTGCCCACCCGATCCCGTTAGTCACCTCTTACCACAAGCATAGTCGCCTCTTACTTCAAGCATGGGTTGCTGAAGACCTATTATCTACCCAGTATGTCAAACGCAGAATGGAGACATACTACACTAGATGATCGAGGATGCTTTGTCGTAGACTTGGTTATTTGTTAAACTAGTCGACGCTTTATTCAAGGTTACTTTCTGAAGTTAGTCCAAGCGTGTGTTATGGATAATGTACTAGTATGATAATGTTATTTGTATAATACAACCTATCTGTGTGAAGATCTGGCATCCCTTCCATTGGAGGTTGCGACAGGTGAACTTTCAGCCAATCGGCATTGAGGCTTCTGCATTCTTGGTACGAGAGAGCGATGCTTTAAGACCAAAATATTTCTGTGTCTCTAACATGAAGTTAAGCGGCCCAAAAAAAGGCCGTGGCATTCTGATGTTGAGGACATTTTTATACACCCGGTCGTTTCTGAGCGCCATGGCATCTATAGTAGAGAGTACCATCGAAGGCATGTATGCTCTGTGTGGGTTTCTTTGTTAAAACATTTCCGAATCGAGGTGATAAGTAAATTAAACCGAATCATTTTAGAAATCTGACATCCGATTGGCTCAATAACCCATATATCCTTCGTTTCGATTAGGCGGTCAAAATTAGCTCCGGGGTCATCTGACGCGACCTTCTGTGGAGATGTATCATATCGGAGCAAAAGATCTGATTTTAGTTAGATTATTTATGAATATAATATTCCTTGAACCAAGCACTGGAAATTGAGCGTCTCTGAATGCATCTGCAGCAAGACGAAAACTTGTTTTCCGTTGTTGTGATCTAGGTTTATGTACTTGGTTGAAGCACTGTTTTTGTAGACGTGTCGGCTTCCTTCAACTTAAGGAATTATTTATTACGAGCGTTTGCTTTTTCGGATTTCCTGACTTTCAGACCGTTATCTTTTCATGACACATCATGTGCTCTACCCTTCTACCCTTTCCGGAAACCGATACCCACCTTTTGGTGATAGAGGGCATTTCTGGATCCACCGTGGTTCGCATGTCTCTTCCAAATACTGATACTTAGAGTTGGGTGGTCCTTCTTCTACACCCTTCACCCTCTTTAAGCACTGAATATATTCTTGTCTTGATTGACTAAATGTTATTCGCGAACGCATATGCTTCTGTAGTTCACAGGACTACGTGTATATTTCAAGTGATGCAATATTAGCAATATTATACATTCCTGTACATTATATATATATATATATATATATATATATATATATATATCCCGAAGTTACGTGCATCTTTTGGAAATATCTAGAAGACATAGACTTCATTTTGAATAATGTCTAAATTATTTCATATGGAAATACATCTTTGGTGGTCCATTTTTTTTCAAGTGAGTATATCGAAACGGTTCCTTTTATGGAAATGTTACATGTTTGTTCATTCCTTTTAAAATATTTTTTCATAATTGTGTGTGCTTTGTGAGTTTATGTTTTTAAATGTGTTGTGTTTTCGCTATCATTTCTTATCGTTAAGAACACGTTTCCATGTAGTAACTGAAGCGTAGGCTCCTTTTGATTTGAGCCATCTAAAAATCAACGGTTACCGAATGAAAGTAGTTCTATAACCAATGTAATCAGGTTAACTAACCAATTGTAGGCTCACGACCTCGTGCCAGCAACGGCGCTGACTGGTTTCTCAGATTGTTGAACTACCCTATACGAGGTCATTTAGCCAGTGTGATCACGCGCTACTTATATCAACCATCGAAATAGCATCAACATGACAATTGCCAATAACGTCATGGTTACCGTACGACCACGCTTCGAAACCGTCGTTTAGCAGAACAATCCTCTGGTGAGCCAGGGACGTAATTTTTAAACATTTGCTCATATCTTATTTACACCACGTAGTTGTTTTATTACGAATTTATCCCCTAATAGGTCTGACTTGAACGACTGCCATATGGAGTGTATCACTGTTTTACCTATGTTATTGTTCACGTATACACATTTTAATGAATAAAATTGTAAAACTCAGCTTCGTGTGTATCATTGCGTCAATTGGAGAAAATTTAAGGGGCTCTCCAAGTGTTAGCTCGTCCGATTCATTCATGACTCTACCCAAAGAGTCAATATTGACCAAAAATACATGTTATTGTAAGTAAGAATTTATTTAATATTTATCACATTTAGATGATATTTTAAATGGTGATGTACGAATGTCCTTTCTGAAAGATATATTCTGCACACACACACATCACTTTTTCTTTAGTTTACTTGTCTTTAGCTCTTCAATAGGTGATGAAGACCTTATTGATATTTTTTTATTTTTTTTATACTATGAGGTAACGTACGAACATGATAATAAGCATAATAACATATTTGTCTTTATCCCGTGACCTGACAAAAGTGACTTTTTCACTCGCGACGTGCTACTTATCTAAGTATCAATAGATAATGAGAGATGGTGTCGGTGAGATAGACATGTTACTTGGCAGGATAAACCAGATTACACATTAAACGCTTTTGTTATTCCAGCAATATCATGACGAGGGCGTTCGTTCAAGCATTTGGTGAATCGAACACAGATCTTGGGTGTAAAATCGATCACTACAGAAGTCTGTCTCACAGTTCCTAAACCGTATTATTTTCCCTTCCCCCAGTCCTTTCTGTCACGGAAGACAGGGTGGCCCAGGCGTCTTAGGCGCCGCGATTCGCTGCGCAGAGTTGCGTCCCTTGGGCACGCCCCCAAACCTATGGTTCTGTGTTCGAATCGCCCCAATCATGTTTCTAGGTTTGTCAGCACCATACCCATGCTCGTGGGTTTTACCAAAGTGGTAAACCTCTGAGACCTGCATCACTCCTGGCTTTCCTCCCACATAAAGCTGACACGCCGCGATATAACTGGAATACTGTTAAAAGTGACGTTAACCCCAACTCACACACTTTCTGTCATGTAAAAGCCCTAAATGGAGAAAGTCAAGATTTTACTCAGGTTGTTCTGAATCTCCCTTTTCACTGGGATTCCTTTTCAGTTTAAATGGAGTTATTTGTTTCTATCAAAGTAAAGTTTTTATAGACTTAGCGTTAGTCCACTCACTAACATTAGTATATACATATATGTACGTTAAAAAATGTGCTTTTCACTATGCCGACCTATATCGCCGGTGTTCAAAACAGCCGTTACATCGGTTATGCACAAACATGAAGGTGTTCCATTATCTTCGGCGTACCTCCAAGAATAGTCTGTCTTACAGACCCTGATACAAATATATATCAAATACAGCCCATGCAGTCCTCCACGTGCGTCGCGGCAGAGAAGACAGCACGCTCCGTTTCCGTGACCTTCCTCTAAATCAGGCCGCGGCAATAAATGACAATAACATGGCGGTTACGTATAACAGTAATTTACGGTGGGATATTGTAACATTATAATCATCACCGAACGACTTCAACTGAATAATGGTATTTGCTAATTTTGTTTTTCTTGCATAAATCTGCGCGAGGTTACGTGACCAATGGGTGCGTTTCAAGGTCACGGCGAAACATATGCATGTGTGTAAACTGATACACTTACAGTGATATAGGAGTTATATACACAATCAGATGTAGATGTACCAACCTCCACATGCACACATACCTATATCATGGGGGTGGGGTGGTATGCGAACTGGTGTTATAAAGGGACGGGTGCGTGGCCAGAGAGACCTGAACAAATTATCACTGTATTGAAAACAATTGCGCACATTCTCTGTGTACAACCAGTTGCTTGCAGGGTTTTTAACACCGGTTAAGGTCACACACATACAATTGTACCGTGTTTGTGGGTTACTAGAAACTTGTGAAGGTCTCAGAGTTATAAATTTAGACTTTCTTCCTACGATTACTCTCCTAAATAAAAATACGTTTTAACAAATAAAATTGCTTAATTGTCTCTAATATTTTATAGAAAGGAGCCCATGAAATACTGCTGGAATCTAGACTTCCCAAGGTTTGTATTGCATTGAGTTAATAAAAATCATTCACCCTTACGTGCGATTCATCCCAGTCCGACTTATGAAACTCAATCGACGGACAAGCATTTCGTAATTAGACTAGACATTTTAACAAACTGAAATAACAGAACTTAAACATCTTTCACAAACGAGGTAAATGAATTGAGAAACAAGACATTATTTCTCTGGTCTAACAAGGGGCGGTCGGGTAGCCTAGTGGTAAAGCGTTCGCTCGTCACGCTGAAGACCGGGGTTCAATTCCCGACATGGGTACAACGTGTGGAGCCCATTTCTGGTGTTCCCCGCCGTGATATTGCTGGAATACTGCTAAAAGCGGCGTAAAACCATACTCACTCACTCTGGTCTAACAAACATGTCTTTTTAACTCTGCTCTATGCTGCTGCAAACCCCGCTGACGTACGCTAGCTTGTTCAATGAATGATTTTGGTATTCGCCGCTTACCACAATTCCAGCCATATCATGGTCGGGGGACACCAGCAGGATGGGACTGTATTTATGTAGTAGCTAAACATATACATTATGTACAGCTCTCATTTGTGTAATCGAAACTTTGTCTTCGACATGAAAGCCGACGTTTTCCGCACCAGGTGATACACGCACACGCACCAAGGTACTCATCACATACAGTTGAAATAGCTACAAGTTTTTACGTCGTTCTTGTCATTTTAGCCATATGTCACAAAAGCGTTCATTGCAAGCATTTGGGAATAGTACACGGGTCTTTGGTGTAAATTCGAACACTACAGAAGTCTGTCACAGTTCCTAAACCATATTATTTTACCTTCCGCCCAGCCCTTTCTGTAATGTAAAACCCCTATAGGGCAAGTCAAGATTTTCCTCAGGTTCGTTCTGAATCTCCCATTTCACCGGGGCTCTTTTTCATTTCAAATAGAGTTATTTGTTTCTATCAAAATTGTGTTTAAGACTAAGCGTTAGTCCACTAAC